TGTGTGTGTGTGTGTGTGTGTGTGTGTGTGTGTGTGTGTGTGTGTTTTCCCCTGAGGAGCTTTCAGATACTGATACTCAGCTGTCTGTAGCTTCCCTGAGAATTCTGGTCTAAATGAAAGCCAAGGATTATCTGTTCCACACTGTCTGTGTCCTGGTCATCACATCCCTTTATCACCCAGGGAAATCTGGCTTCAGTTTTAATAAGGCTTCTGGGACCTAAAGAAAGGTATGGACTATGCAGGACAGGCTATGAGAGGTAAAAGTCCCAGTGGGAGGCCATACATCTGGTCAGCCTTACTACCCTTCCTGTGTGTTCCCTAACACCCGGCCACAGCCTGCCTCTGTGTCTTGCTCTCACGCCACTTCAGTGACAGCCTCTGCTGCGTGGACAGTGGGGAGTGGCTGGGTTTGTCAGGCACAGCCTGCGCTGCTGGGCTGCTTTGACCTTCACACTTCTGGCCACAGGGAACCAATGAGATTCTTCGGTTGTTCATTGCCCTGACAGGCCTGCAGCATGCCGGACGCATCCTGACCTCAAGGATCAAGTAGGTGCCATTTTCCCACCGGTTATTGGTCCCAGTCTTGGAACAGTGGGTGGGGAGTGCAGCCTGCACACAGGCTCACTGCAAAGCTGCACAAGCACGTGCACTGTCTCTGCACAGTGGTGACAGTGACTGGAAGCCCACACCTCTAGCTTGCCCCTCACCAAAAGCAGCAGGGAGGGCAACCTGCCCAAGTTGTCCTCATTCCACCCCCTCTCCCCCCGGCTGATGCTCATCTCCCACCCTGGAGGGCACCTGGTGTTTGAAAATGCTTGTTACGTTGGCTGGATTGCTGAGACATCCAGAAGCCATGGAATGAGAGGTGTCCCGCTAACAGGTGGCAAGTTTGAGACTAGTTTCTCTTCTCTGCCCCTCTTTATCTCCTCTGCCCTCATTCCAGGGCAGAGCAATCAGATCCCTGCTGGAGCCCACAACAGGCTGCTAATAGGATTAACTGTTTGGAAGCTGACCGTACAACAGGCTTCCCTCTGCTGGGAGGAGAAAGCCACCCTGCATGAAACCCACATGCTCAGCTCTAGAAAAGCACAGAGTTCCATGGTGCCATACTCTTGATCAGTGGGAGCCAGCTGTAGGGTCTTAAGTCACAAGACTGTGAACTTCCTGCAGAGAGCTTAAAAGAGGCAATGTGACCACAGTCATGGAAACAATTGGTCGGAAGCTTCGGGACTCGCTGGGCCGAACTGTGGACATGGGACTGACAGGCAGACTTGGCCTTGTACACCCCAGTCTTGGAGTAAGTATGCCCAGCACCTCTACCTCCTACATTTGGGTCCCCTCCTGCAAGGTATTCCCAATCCAGAAGGATATGACTAGCATCTAGGATCCTCCAGGAAAGTTGGGAACACTCAGATTCCCCACTCTATCCCTGTCCTATCTCCCTGGAGCTCCAGACTGAATATTAGGTGGGTCAAATGGAACATTCTGGAAGAGATACTAAGTCCTTCTTCTTCACTAATAGGACAGTGCCAACAAGCTTGAGGAAAATGTGTATTACTTTGGTCGGACCGTTGAGACCCTGTTACTCCGTTTTGGAAAGGTAAATGGGTCCTGTCGGGTATGGGATACTGCCTCCCCTACTGGTACTCCTGCCATGGGACTACTTTGGGCCCATTGTCCACTTGTGAGTCCAGGCTTAGAACAGAAATCTTGATCTCCATGGGGCTGGAATTGCTAGCCAGCACTGCCCATGGAGGAGCCCTGCTAGGTGAATTATCCACAGTGTTCTAAGCACCTTCCAACCAGAGTGGCTCTCTGGAATACCTGGAGGGACTACTTACCTGGGGCTGAACACAGGAGCTAATCTCTGTGGGGAGTCTTGCTGAAGGTGACATTGAGCACACTAAGCATCGGACAAGTTTCTGAGACCTGTTTAAGCCTTGACATGTGTCCAAATATAAAGAAAGGAAAAGCATCATTGTTCTCTACTCTGAACCTCTGTCCTCAGACCATTGTAGAGGAACAGCTGGTGTTGAAGCGGGTAGCCAACATCCTCATCAACCTGTATGGCATGACAGCCGTGTTGTCACGGGCCAGCCGCTCCATCCGAACTGGGCTTCGGAATCATGATCATGAGGTAAGTGTTGCACAGCCCTATGTGGGAAATATTAAACAGAAGCCATAATGAGTTTGTCAAGGTCGTGGCTACTGGGACAGGCCCTTTATCCACTGCGTTTTAATGAAGCCTGGAGCTGAGGAAGGGAGAAATTGGGTAGTGTGGCCTGTTGGAGAGTCCTGCACAAGAGAGACTGAGTCTCCAGGACCAAGGGGTAGTTGCAGAGATGGGTGGGTGAGTTTGCTGTGGCATGGCCATGTCAGTGCTGTTCCTGATCCTGGCCTTTAGTCTCTTACAGGAGACAGATGAGTGACAAGCCCACCCTCATTCATTACCTGCACTACACTCTTCTCACCCTTCAGGGGCAAGCAGGTTTAGTCACTAGCAACTCATGTTTACCAGCCTCTTGATACATGTCATTCCAGAATAGCCCATGGGTGCACACTTCACAGAGACAGACGCCATCTCGGAGATCCTGAGGGGCTTGCTCCTGGTCAGCCTGCATTTGATCAGGGTGCTGTGTAACTTCTGAGTCAGTCTTTTTTGCCCAAGATGTCATGCCCAGTGTGGCAATATGCTGGGATTCTTTGAGTTCAAAGACCAACTTCAGAGCTCTCAGTTGCTGTCCTTTCTGAACTTGGTTGTCTAGGTTCTGTTGGCCAACATGTTCTGTGTGGAAGCTTATTTCCAGAATCTCTTCAGCCTGTCTCAGCTGGACAAGTGTGAGTGAGATGCCTACGGGAAAGCAAGCACCCAGGGCCAGCCATCATCCATAGCTGTCGGTGCCTTACTTCCTCCCAAAACTTGCTGCCAGGAAAGTGGTTTGGGCTCACAGTAGAGGGCTTGCCAGATCAGGTACATCCCTGCGTACTAAGGCCTCCTATGTAGGATATGCTGGTGTCTGTTTTGGAGAGGTCCCAAAAGAAGGAAACGGCATTGTGCCTGTCTCTTCAGCTGCAGACTCTGGCCAGAATGGCATATGGAACTGCCATGTGCCATAGAGGTGGTGAAATGGCTTCTCCAAAAGCCTTGGCCTTATGGAAATAATAATGAAACATACTACTTTAGGCCAGCTTTTCTATCTGAAATGCCTTTTCTCTTTTGTAACTGCTTGTCCATGTTTTGAAATAGAATCAGGTTCTCCTTGACATGGCAGTCTGAAGAGGCTGGCCCTGTTACTAGTTATGGTGGAGAGGGCCATTACAGTCCTTACTGAAGATGTATGGCCTGCAGCTTAGAACCCAGCCGAGGGGCCGTACATGGCTTGCAGGACTGTGGTACACTGTGGAGGGTAGTGAAACAGCCTTTCCGGGAGCCAGTTACCAAGTAGGGCCTTGCCACATAAGACCTGGGGGTCTAAAGGAGGGTATCCCTGGGTATAGCTTTCCAGTGGGGAACTAACTTAGGTAAAAACACTCCTTAGACCTGTTTGCATTACCATATTGCAAAAGGATTACCATGCCTTGTTTTCCTCTCACAGATGCTCCAGAAAACATGGATGAGCAGATTAAGAAAGTGTCTAAGCAGATCCTTGAGAAGCGAGCCTACATCTGTGCCCACCCTCTGGACAGGACATCGTGAGGCTGGGACAGTGCCCCTGTACCTACCACCTAGCCCAGGTTAACATAATTCAGCATCTTGAGAAGACTGAAACATTGGAGTCGTCTGTGTAGACTGTATGCCATTTGTATACACTAAAGCAATAGTATAAACAACTATTGCTCTGCTGAAAGATCAGTAGTTAGGTTTTGATCTGTAGGCCCTGCATCTGAAGAGATCCCATCAAGGCAAGGAAGAAAGGATGGACGGACAGACGGAAGGGAGGGAGGACCAAATTGTTGAAGAAAGAAAGGAGGGGAGAGAGAGAGAGAGAGAGAGAGAGAGAGAGAGAGAGAGAGAAAGAAAGAGAGAGAGAGAGATAGAGAAAGAGAGGGAAAGAGGCAAAGAGGGAAAATGGAGGTGTGCACTACGTCATGGCAAGAAAGAGAGGAAGGAAGAGAGGAAGAAGAAGGGAGACTTGTTTT